TGGAAGACTTGGATCTCATGATGTTGCCGCTGACTCCGACAATGAATCGCGTTAATTCGGAGGCCTTTGCGGACAATTCCGAGACGGATAAAAGCGCCGAGCCGATAGTAACCACACGTCCGGACTGGATCAAAGACGAGGAATTAACGAGTCTGAGGATGGCAACGCCACCACCGTCGACGTCGTCGGGTGTCGGCGGTATCAGTCCAAGTATCAAGAACCCCGCAACACTCAAAGACTCGACGGAAGCGAAACGAGCGCGACGCTCCGCGATTGAGAAGAAGTCGAGGCAGAGGAGACAGGAAATGCTCAAGAGGATGAGACACGAGGTCAAGCAGCTTGAAGACGTGTACACAGAGATGGCCAGACGAAGAGAAGCGACGAGTTCCAACGGTAGATCACGCTTTTCTTCGATTTCGATGGACGAGTTGCAGCGCGAATACTCCGAGTTGTCGCTGGTTGCTCACGCACTTGAAGAGGACCAAGTTGCTCTCCGTGAACTGCTTCTGACCCACGAGAAATTCCAGCAGACTCTGCAAAGCCAATCAGATGGACGGGACGCGGTTTGGAACAGCGGAATTCCGCCAAGTGCGTCCTTGTCCGTGGCATTTCGACAACATACAACAGACGAGTGCTTTGCCATCGTCCGCGCGGCCTATCAGGAGATCGAGCGGTTCCTTGCAGCAGACAATTTTGTATCCACCGGGGCGAGTTTCATGGGCTGGACAGATAAGCGCAAGGTGGACCATGACGTACAGGCTCTTCAGTTTTGCTTTACAAAGAAATTCCCTCTCGAAAGCGCTGACAATCTGCTTTCGCAGACGTGGAAAATCTTTTCGAATGGTGACAAAATGGCGGTAATGTCGTTCGATCGATCGGTTCGTACGCGGTTCGAGGTGCTGCAAGTTTTGAACAGGCATTCCGAAATAATCATTGTATTGCTGCTTCAATACAATAGTTTACACTTAATTATTGATTTTTACAAATTGGATGACTTTTTCCAATTAGTTATTTTGTATTTACAACAAAGTACTTTATTTTTTCGTAAAATCTAGTTTTTTCTGCTTTGTTTTGCGTAAATACGGAGCTCGGTCTCCAGATGGGTAGCAACGGTCGCTCAAAACGCGAACCTGAGGCGCTCGTCTATCATTTTTGATCTTACCATGGCTCTCGCCAACACCTTCACGACCAAGCAAGTCTGCAGCTACTTTTTTACTGCCAGCTTGGCGACTTCCAGTCGGCCACCATGAAGCTTCAAGACGACAACGTAACGCTTCTCGATGTGCGCGATATCTTTGATGCGCTCATCGAGAAGCATTCCGTTGTGAAAAGGTATCTTGCTGCCGACGCAAATATTGTTAGGACGTGGACTTCGAGCGAGCGTGCGTTGTAGCCCTGTCAGGCGCCGTGGACGAGCTGACGAACGACCAGGAGCTGATGTTGCAGCCATTTGAGACGGTACCCGCAATTACGACACCGGACACTAGGGAGAAGACATGAAATCTAAACTAAGCGAGCTAGGAAGTAAACCAACCACCTGACATCAGAACTGAAAGCATTAATATGCAAATAACCGACTTGATTTTAAACTGCAGAAGTCAGAGTTGAACTGAGGGGACAGGGCAAACCTTATCCCCCAATCCTCCTCTATTTCACTTCAGATACGTCGCGTTGCTACTAGTCTAATATATATTTTTAGGAAAGATAAAACGTGCTAGTAGTTAGTATAATGCTGGATTGATCTTAAAATCTATTTTCATGGGGCGTCCTCGAAAAAAAATCTATTTTCAAGTTCACTTGCAATCCACACGAGAACCAACGTAGCTTATTGATATTGGAGAAGCACTCGTCTCCTTTACATACAACCGTGGTGTAGCATGCCGTTCTCCTACGCTTGGCAGCATTTGGCACGAGTTCAAGGTGTTCGCGCTGCAGAAGAGAAGTTGGACTCTCTGCGCACCATCAATGCATACGTCAACATGACAAAACGCTGCTCCATGTGCCCTACGAATCACGACCACCACCAAATGCGTTATCGCATTTGGTTCTGCAACTCTTCGACCTGTAAAGAAGACAATTTAAGCTGTACGTATTGGCTCAAGGTTTTGTGGTGTCTTCAAACAGACATCAACGAATTTTTTGAGCATGGACAACACGCGTCTCCGGTCGGGTCGCCGCATTCAAGGCCCTTCACTCGTGTCATGAAGTTTGAGACTCGAAAAATGACAGAAACGTCAGCAACACCAAATCGAATTCTGAATTCATTAATTGATCAGTTCTCGCTTAACCAAGGCAACGTATCTAAGCTACAAACAGTTCAGAACTTTGTCTACAATCACAAGACAACAATTCTCCTCCAAACAGATATACTGGACGATATGATTTCCATTGCAAGAAGTGCTCAGTATTCTGACGATCTTGATGAATCGACTACGTTCACGTTTGGATATAACGTGGACAATGAAGGAGATCCGGTTCTTGGAGACGGGACAGACGAAGATCCTTTCGTTGTGGCGTTTTCTACGAAAACAATGATGCGTCAGCTGGATCGTGATCCCGAGTCCTTCTTATTTCATATGGACGCAACATTTAAGCTGAACACAGTTGGGTTTCCTCTGTTTGTGTGTGGAATTTCAGATGCATCGCGATCATTTTTTCCAATGGCACTTTTTTCTGGTTTCACAAAGAACTGAAACTCTACATAGCGCAGATCGGGCGTTTATCTTTACATATTAAAAACAAACATTTTTCTTGGTGTTGTTGCGGAACTTCCGTGGAGAGTTTACTTACTATATGGCGGAGGCGGAGGGGGAGGCAACGACCCAGTACAGCGGATTCAGGCGCGTGATTTCGTCAGGGTCTGAGTCATCGTATATAATGTGTTGGTTTCACGTAGTCAAGAATGTACGAGACAAGCTGAAAGGACTTTCAGATACAGCAGTGCATCTGGTATTCAAACATTTATACGAGATGCACTATGCTCGTAATCACCTTGAGTACGAAGAGCTCAAGGCGACAGCATTTCAGAAGTGGGCTAATGTGGATTCGCTAGGTAATTTTGTCGATTACTTTTTTTTTAACCGGGAATGGGTTATTTCTCGTTATTGCAACTGGCAGTGTTTTCATTCTCCATCCGGGTACGCTAAGACGAATAACCCCGCTGAGACATTCAACAAGCTGATTAAAAGAGACTACAGTCTTCGCGTACGTCTTAAAACGGGCGAATTGATGCAGAAAGTACTGCTTTTGTGTAAGCACCAATCTATTCGTGCCTCTGTTTTTGCAATTGAAGCCAAGCCTAGTGAAAAACTCGTTTCTCGTGCGAAAAAATTGTATTTATCACCGAATCTCGCTATAACAGAGAGACAATACGACATTCGCTTTTTTGCTTGGCGAAAATGAACACGCGCTGAAAAATATACTCGTAGCTCGAAGCTACAAGAGTGGTGATGATTATCGGGACACCCAGGAAAAAAAAGAGGTGAACAAGCGGCGAATGGAGCGATGGGGTCAGCCGACACATGGATGGGATGTAAACGTTACTCGGCGCGTGTGTCCATGTCGATCGTTGTTTAAATATGCATTTTGTGTCCCCTTAGTTGTGTGCATGAAGATACGAAAGCTAAGAGTGGCTGGCTGGAAAAATGATCCACGTCCTCTTGCTAATCGTAGGATTAGACGGAATCTTTCTTCTAACAAAATCGGGATGGAAACTACCACGACCATCAACACTGTTGAAAGAAGCAACGGCGCGTCCAGTAATAGTCGACGGGGTGATCGATCTGGATCAGGACGCAACCTAGGTGGTCGACGTATCTCGGCAAGAGGTCGTGGCAATGGTATCTTACGGGATAGTATTGGTGATACAAGAAGAGATCGGACTGATTCCGCACGACGCCAGACAAATATCTCCCTTCGTGGATGTAGGGGTAGAGGTGGCACTGGAGAACGACCGAGAACTGTTGGTCATGCATTACAAAGAGAATAGATGAACGGATGCTATATTATTTGAATATATACGATTTAATATTCATTCAATCAGCTGATAGTAATGAATAACTAAGCAATGCGTTGAGTTTTTGCGTTTGTCAAATTATTTCGGCAGCTATGAGCCATTAAATGTGGGGATCCCTGCTGGTTTCTTGAAATATTGAAACGTCGAAGGGAGAATGGGCGCATCTGGATCCTCAGAGACGTTTAACTCTCTGCATTCTTCATATGCAGATACAGCAGCTTCTCTATAGCCATCGTGTACCTCGAATTCTATTCTCCGAGAATTCTTGCGAAGGTTCATCCTGAACGTCTCCATGCTCAGGCGGAAACATTGCAATACCCCTCATAGATACAAACGCTGTAGCCAAGCGCGTAGCTATAGCCGTATATGCGTCCTCGGCTGTCGTTGCTCCATCGTCATCACGTGACTGCAGTATAATGCTCTCAACGGTACCAGTTACCGCATCAATGACGCCGCTTAAGCTCCCGCGATTGTATGACGTGTGAATGTTTAGGTTGCGCTCTGCTGTCAGAACTTGATAGTATTTATTACGGGCTCGAATCAGCTTCGCTTGGGTTTGCTTAATGTTTGTAGTTTCAGACACACGTTTTTGTGATTGGCTCCCTTCTCGTTTCGACTTCTTTGTAGAAGAGTGAGATCTAGTCCCTTTCTTACTTCGTTTTGTGCGCTCATCCTCTATCCCGATCCCTTGATCAATAAGGTGCCGGGGAAATCCTTCATCCGCAGTCTTGTTCAACATCAGCAGCCTTTCTTCTAGAGGCAGAACACTCCAAGCAGCTCTCAACGCAACACCGCCTCGATTCAGCAGCCATTTACTGTCCGATACGCGTAGATATGTCCCCTGTAGTTGCAATCTATCTCGAGCGTACTTCTGAGCGTATATAGATCCATTATCTGAAGCGAAAAGCCACACGGCAGCATGAGCTCGCATAGTGTTTTGATTTTCCGACTGAAGGTGATCTTCGATTCTTGCTCTGCACCTAGTAGTGCAAGCTCCAGAATTAGAAGCAGATCTATTACAAGCAGCTCCAATCTTCCGGTAGGCGAAACGCCTACATAATTATGTTCCAGATTCAATAATTATGCTCTAGAGCATATATAGTGATTGATAGTAACTTGTGAGTATTTAACTGCTAAGTAATAACTCCCGATAAGCTAAGACTAATTGTGCACTATGGCATAATACAGCATTTATTTGAAAAACTACAAGTTTTTAGTGCATACGCTACTCGTTTAAATTGGCGGAACGCTACATGAGAGTCTAGTTGTGATGTTTCAAGATACAAATAACAAAAATGAAGGCCAACACAAAATGTGCACTGAGGCAGAATTCAACGTGGCTGGTGAGTTCGAGCTGTCATCACGTGGTCGACGAAGCATTTTCCACGCAAACGTACGCCAGTCGTACTCCATCGCGACCCGGTGAGTCAAGACTAATTCTGCACTGAAGCAGATTTGGCTACGTGCAGTTATCGAAGCGGTAAGGCGTCGAAATATGTCAATCATAAAACTAGGAATATTAATAAAATTGTTATCTCATATGACTACTCTATCGATAGTAATGAACTGCACAGCTGTTCTAATCTTACCACATGTATCTTGGGATCCCGTATTTCTGTCAATTCACAATCTTCATATGCCTGGGTTAAAATGAAAGTTGCCCAGGTTTAACTTGTGGCTTTTTCGCTCCTGAGGCATTCTAAACAGTTGAAGAGGCGGGCGCGATAGAGAGCGCACAAATTTCTGCTCGAGGGCTCTAACTGGAGGGTGGGGCAACGCTCTGCTCGCGCGGCCAAGTCGAAGGTTTTCGACTTGGAGAATGAAAGTTTGTGACGCAGACTTCTTCATTCTGATTGGTCGGTAAACCGAACCTAAGTGAGGGGGATGTATCGGGGTACAGAGCGCTAAGTGTATACCTGGTGACCGGAAGTGTGACACGTCACACTTCAGAAGTATGACATTTGACCGAGCATCATCCGCATACTGAGCTCCGAGTGGACTCGATCCACTTCCGTGTGCTTAACGATGGTGTTGGTGTAGGATGGCACATACATAATTGAGGGT